CAGTAGTTTTTTTTAATTTTTGAAGTTTGATTTCTTATTATTTTTTACCATTTTATTTTATGTATTTATTTACAATTTTACTTTTTTGCTATATTTTATCATTTTTTAGGAGCCCTGTTGGGAGGCTTTGGGGAAATATCAGGTATCTAAACAGGCCTCTGATGTTTCACCTTTGAGACAGACGAAGGAGATTAATTACACAGCCCTCAATCTCCTTCTCTGCAGCCTCAGCATCACAGAATGAATGGACAGGAATAGCTCTGTAGAGAGCTTTCCATTCATTCATAAACTGAAGCATAGTAAACACAGTTTACTATGCCTCAGTTATGAATGGACAGAGTCAGTGATCGGTACAGACCATTGACTATGTTCATTAAGAGAAGGAAGGGGTCAGTAACTGACACATTTATTGGTCCCTTCCTGCTCTCCATCATGACGGGGATGAGAGATGTCCAGGGGAGTACACAGGAACCAGGGGCAGCAGGAGGTGGACAGGAGGGGCGGCATGTAGAGGAACCAATCCCCTCCATTTTCCTCTTGCAGTCACTGAAAGGCTGCTCCCGCTGCCCCTCCTATTAAGTTGTACAGTGGCAAGGGGCCGCAAAGACCCCCTGAAGAATGGGGCCGGGTCACAATTGCGACCCCTGGATGTACGCCAATGGGCATTGCTCCATATTGTGTGACCATTGTTCTTTATTGTGTGGGCTTTTCTCTCAATTGTGTGGGCATTGCTCTGTATTGTGTGTTCATTGCTTTGTATTGCTGTATATTGTGTGGGCAGTACTCTTTGTTGTGTGGGCATTGCTCTGTATTGTATGGGCATTGTTCTTGATTGTGGGACCATTGCTCTTTATTGTGTGGCCATTGTTCTGTATTGTGTGGCCATTGCTCTGTATAGTGTGGGCATTGCTTTGTATAGTGTGAGCATTGTTCTGTATTGCATGGGTATTGTTCTGTATTGTGTGGGCCTTATTTTGTATTGTATGGGTATTGTTCTGTACTGTGTGGGCATTGTTCTGTATTGCATGGGTGTTGTTCTGTATAATATGGGCATTGCTCTGTATAATGTGAGCATTGTTCTGTATTGCATGGGTGTTGTTCTGTATAATATGGGCATTATTCTGTATTGCATGGGTATTGTTCTGTGTTGTGTGGGCATTGTTCTGTATTGCATGGGTATTGTTCTGTATTGTGTGGGCATTGTTCTGTATTGTGTGGGCTTTGTTCTGTACTGTGTGGGCATTGTTCTGTATTGTGTGGGCATTGTTCTGTATTGTGTGGGCATTGTTCTGTATTGTGTGGGCATTGTTCTGTATTGTGTGGGCTTTGTTCTGTACTGTGTGGGCATTGTTCTGTATTGTGTGGGCATTGTTCTGTATTGCATGGGTGTTGTTCTGTATAATATGGGCATTGCTCTGTATAGTGTGGGCATTGCTCTGTATTGGGTGGCCATTGTGCTGTATAGTGTGAGCATTGCTTTGTATAGTGTAAGCATTATTCTGTATTGCATGGGTATTGCTTTGTGTTGTGTGGACATTGTTCTGTATTGTGTGGGCATTGTTCTGTACTGTGTGGGCATTGTTCTGTATTGTGTGGGCTTTGTTCTGTACTGTGTGGGCATTGTTCTGTATTGTGTGGGCATTGTTCTGTACTGTGTGGGCATTGTTCTGTATTGCGTGGGTATTGTTCTGTACTGTGTGGGCATTGTTCTGTATTGAGTGGGTATTGTTCTGTACTGTGTGGGCATTGTTCTGTATTGCGTGGGTATTGTTCTGTACTGTGTGGGCATTGTTCTGTATTGTGTGGGCATTGTTCTGTATTGCGTGGGCATTGTTCTGTACTGTGTGGGCATTGTTCTGTATTGTGTGGGTATTGTTCTGTATTGTGTGGGCATTGTTCTGTATTGTGTGGGCATTGTTCTGTATTGCGTGGGCATTGTTCTGTATTGTGTGGGCATTGTTCTGTATTGTGTGGGCATTGTTCTGTATTGTGTGGGCATTGTTCTGTATTGTGTGGGCATTGTTCTGTACTGTGTGGGCATTGTTCTGTATTGTGTGGGCATTGTTCTGTATTGTGTGGGCTTTGTTCTGTGTTATGTGGGCATTGTTCTGTATTGTGTGGGTATTGTTCTGTATTGTGTGGGTATTGTTCTGTACTGTGTGGGCTTTGTTCTGTACTGTGTGGGCATTGTTCTGTATTGTGTGGGCATTGTTCTGTATTGTGTGGGCATTGCTAGGTAACACTAAACATTTTTCAGAATACTAATAACAGATAGTAGTTCTTTTCATTGGCAATAAATAGGTGGGAAATGTGATGAATGCTCTTTATTTGAAGCATGTTAAACATACACAGATTCTGATTCACTAGATAAAATAAATAGGAGCAGGGATAATCCATGGGAGTGATATTGCTTTGTGTGCCTGCAACGAACGTGTGTGGAAATGATCCAAGAACTTATTTAGCTGCGAATACACTGATATTCTATACGGTGCGGTCTTAGTTCGCTGTGCACTTTGAGCAATCATATAATTTTGCTTTAAAATGGATATAAACCCAAAGGGCCCGATATGAGTTGGGGCAATGTGGTGCCATTCATTTGTTGGTGCATTGAATGTGGGACCATTCCATCTGGGATGTACTGCATCACCCTTCCGTCTGCAAGGTGCATTGGGGGGCCATTCTGAATCACACTCAAACTTACCTTGCCAGCGGGCATGCTTTGCAGCTCAGCACAACATGTGGCAACTCACTAACATGCATTGCAGTGCAGTGTGCTGCCAGAATTGGTACATGCACCTTTTCTGCTGCATTTTGGTGTGTTAGGCAGCACATTCAAATGGATAGGTTGCCTTAATACAATACCCCTTAAAGAACAATTCCAAGTATGGCATTTTTACATATTTATATTGGTTCAGCTTGGACCATGTGTGTATGTATGTACCATATCTGTGGGATGCCTTTAAAAACTAAAAATCACTATAGTAGACACCACTGCTCCAATGATCTCCACTAGCTTCTGGGTCCCATGCTGGGCAGCTGCTACTGGAGAGGGTGTAACCACCATCAACTCTCCGCCTCGTCCAATTAGAGAACACTTCATTGAGAAAAATGTTCTCTGAATGGTGCCCCATGGTGAGTGGCTAATCTGCTGTGTTCAGAATACAGTAGGTTGGCCGCACAGCCCAGGACCCCAAAACAAGTGGAGATCACTGGAGTAGCGGTGCCTACTACACTGACCTCCAGCTTCTAGATCAGTGGTTCTCAACCTTCCTAATCCCGTGACCCTTTAATACAGTCCCTCATGTTGTGGTGACCCCCAACCATAAAATTATTTACCCAGTAATTATAATTCATGAAGTGTCGCTTTACCTCCAAAACTGCTGCTTTCAACACAGTAGCTGCTTTTAACAGAGTAGCTGCTTTCAACACAGTAGCTGCTTTCAACACAGTAGCTGCTTTTAACAGAGTAGCTGCTTTCAACACAGCAGCTGCTTTCTACACAGTAGCTGCTCTTTACACATCGGAAATATGTGTTTTCTGATGGTCTTAGGCGACCCCTGTGAAAGGGTTGTTCAACACCCAAAGGGGTCCCGACCCACAGGTTGAGAACCACTGTTCTAGAGGGATCCCACAGGTATGGTACATGCATAGTTACAAGCTGGACCAACGTAAGGGTGGCCATACATGGATCAAAATTCGTCCTGTTCAACAGGGACCGTATGGGCAGGCTTGCTGCTCTACCAATCAACTTCTATACAACCAGCCTGTCACATTGTTCCTGAATAATCAGTGCCAGCCGCACTGATCAGTGTATTCTGAGGATGGGGAGTGACTACCTCATCCACATCGAATGTGTCTGGGGGAATTGGATCAAAAATTTGTACTGTATGGCCTGCTTAACTATGTAAAAATGCTATACCTGGAATTCTTCTTTAAGTGTGGCAAAACGTGTTTGCTTTACTGAAACGTAATGGTGTGAATGTGCCCTAACTTGATGACATTTCATTTTCTAAAGTGCTGTGTATCATAAACAATTGTCATTATATTATTTCCCTTTTTTTGTATGCAGTGACCACATACAGTACACTCCAATGAGGGTTGCATGGTATTTCTCAGGCAGCTTTTCTGATAGTGGCAACAGTGGACCATGCATGTGCAATGTGTGTTGAAATGGCCACTTGTAGTCTCCTTTGGAGGCCTGTGTGACAGGATGACTATGTAGGTGAACAATTGGGAGTAGGGGGACAAAAATCATAAAACGGGAAATAGTAGAACAAGCACCTTTATTGCAGTATCACCAGGGACTGAGAAGGGATCTGAGAATGTTGGGAGCAAACGGAGATCATAGGCTGACCTGAAGTGTGGGAGAAAACCGTAGTACCCAGAGGTACAAGGAGAACATGCAAATTTCGTGCAGGTAATGCCATGGTTGGGATTCAAATCAAGCACCCTTAGGTCTTCATGTTAACCTGCGATCTCCATTTCTCCTCAAACCTCCTTTCCCTGCTTTTTAAGCAGAACCAAAATATAGCCATTTACCTGTATATGAATCTTGTTTTTTAGTTTGGCAGAACAATCTTCTCCAAAGGTTTGGAATCTGTAACCAGAAAAGCTTAATTGTGCCCCTCTATGTAGATGTCGTGCACACCAAAGAACATAAAACATGTTTTGGCTTTAGATACATGACTAGGGTATTAAAGATGATTTGACTCCAATACTGCTTGACCACCAATCCACTACTCATCCATACCTAAGTAACCACACATGACACAAATTGGAGTTTATTAACAAATTGTATAAATAATATATTAACATTTTATAGACATGAATGGAACCCAAAGGTCCTTTGCAGGCATCTACTTAACATAGTACTTGCATAAAACCAAAAGGTAGGCCTCCATCACCAACTCGTTGACAATAACGCCAATAATCGCAGATACAACTATGACAGTTCACTGTCAACAAACCATACAAAGTAAGGGGAGCCATACCTAAGACCTCTCTGCCAATCCCTCCACTGGCTTCCATTCAGTGTCCTCCACCCCTCTCTGCCAATCCCTCCACTGGCCTTTACTCAGTGTCCTCCACCCCTCTCTGCCAATCCCTCCACTGGCTTCCATTCAGTGTCCTCCACCCCTCTCTGCCAATCCCTCCACTGGCCTCCATTCAGTGTCCTCTACCCCTCTCTGCCAATCCCTCCACTGGCTTCGATTCAGTGTCCTCCACCCCTCTCTGCCAATCCCTCCACTGTCTTCCATTCAGTGTCCTCCACCCCTCTCTGCCAATCCCTCCACTGGCTTCCTATCAGTGTCCTCCACCCCTCTCTGCCAATCCCTCCACTGGCTTCCATTCAGTGTCCTCCACCCCTCTCTGCCAATCCCTCCACTGGCTTCCTATCAGTGTCCTCCAGCCCTCTCTGCCAATCCCTCCACTGGCCTTTACTCAGTGTCCTCCACCCCTCTCTGCCAATCCCTCCACTGGCTTCCATTCAGAGTCCTCCACCCCTCTCTGCCAATCCCTCCACTGGCCTCCATTCAGTGTCCTCTACCCCTCTCTGCCAATCTCTCCTCTGGCTTCGATTCAGTGTCCTCCACCCCTCTCTGCCAATCCCTCCACTGGCTTCCATTCAGTGTCCTCCACCCCTCTCTGCCAATCCCTCCACTGGCCTCCATTCAGTGTCCTCTACCCCTCTCTGCCAATCCCTCCACTGGCTTTGATTCAGTGTCCTCCACCCCTCTCTGCCAATCCCTCCACTGGCTTCCATTCAGTGTCCTCCACCCCTCTCTGCCAATCCCTCCACTGGCTTCCTATCAGTGTCCTCCACCCCTCTCTGCCAATCCCTCCACTGGCTTCCATTCAGTGTCCTCCACCCCTCTATGCCAATCCCTCCACTGGCTTCCATTCAGTGTCCTCCAGCCCTCTCTGCCAATCCCTCCACTGGCTTCCCGTTGCCCAATGGATAAAATTCAAAACACTAACAATAACGTATAAAGCCATTTATAACTCTGCCCCAAATTACATCACCGATCTTGTCTCTAAATATCACCCAAACCGTACTCTCCGCTCCTCACACGACCTCCTACTCTCTAGCTCCCTTGTCTCCTCCTCCCATGCTCGTCTCCAGGACTTCTCCAGGGCTTCCCCCATCCTCTGGAACTCTCTACCCCAATTTATCAGACTATCGCCTACTCTGCTCACTTTTAGGCAATCCCCGAAAACCTCTCTCTTCAGGGAAGCCTATCCTGCCCTCATCTAACACTGAAATCCTCTACTCTTCCAACCAGTCCATCCCCCACAGTTACTACCTTTTGTGCCACTAGCCCTCCCTCCTAGATTGTTAGCTCCAAGGAGCTCCTATCCCTCTTGTATTGAACTGTATTGTTGCTGTATTGTCTCCCGTTATATTGTAAAGTACTGAGCAAACTGTTGGCGCTATATAAATCCTGTATAATAATAACCAATGTACATTTTGACCACAATGACCGTCTTCAAAGACCAAAGATGTACTTCTTGTACATCCTTCAAGCATCTTATCATAGCAGTGTTGAAGCTCAACTCCACCCAACTCAAGAATCATGTGTATTCTTCTTCGAATCTTGGTGTGCTTTGTGTATTTCTTCCAGATCTGTGCAGTAATCCAGTGTAAAATTTGGCCTCTGTGCAGGAGCTTCCTGTAATAAAGACCGCTCACTGCTTTTCTCTCCTTGTGCAGGGTGATAGGTCTTATCTCCACCCCCTCTTGTATTTTTCTGCAGGCAGCTTGTAGTAGTTGGGGCCTGTTTGGCCCCTCTCACAGCTCTGCCCTCTGCACCGGCTATGTAGTGCACAGTGATGATGTCACCACTATTTTAAAAAGGTAATAACTGGATTTGCAAATGTACACAAAAAGTGGATTTATATCTTTTATGGTTATTGAGGAATTTATTTAACTGAAAGTATTTGGGTCCAGAGTCCAGCCTTAAATGTCTACATGCCTAATCCTGCACAAAGTCTGTACTGCCCACCCTTCTACGCTTTTAGGAATGAATCACAATATCTCAGCTTTTATCCATCAGAGATGCGTGAGTTAATTTCTTTGTCCCCACCTAAAATGGGATCAACCAAATTGGGTCATTAGACCTTTGAATGTAACTTCCACATCTAACCGTATCTCACAAAGCCCCCTTCTAGCTGTACGTGATACAAGAACGGCCAGACCAATAGAGACCCCACGGGGGGGACGAGGCAAACAAACTTTAATTCAAACTCAATAACTCCTTCTCAACACAACTGTTTGCTTTATTTGACAAAACAGGAGAGGCAGAAACAGAAAATATACATTTGTATCACAAAACCTAAAACACACTTGGAATATATGATAGAGCAACTATATGTTTTTAGAATCTTTTCCGTTTTAGTGACATATACTGTATGTTTGCATCATTGCTTTGTATTTTGTTAGTTTTCATGATATTTGCGGTACTGTTGTGTTTTGTTAGTTTTCCTTTTGTGTATGTGAGTGTTGTATTTTGTATTTCATTCATAGTCAGATTAGGTATGTTCATGCCCTTTTTGTATGTTTCTGTTTTTCAAGTGATTTACTGTATGTTAGTGTCATTTGTGTTAGTTTTCATTTTTGTATGTTAGTGTAGCATTTGTATTTTGTTCTTTTTCCTGTTATGTACTGTATGTAAATTAATTTTTTATTATGTATGTATGTTTTTGTATTTTGTTTTATGATATGTATATTTTTGTTTTATTAAATGCTAGGAATGTACATTTTTTTTGCATTCTGTTCATTCTTCATGTTATGAATGATCATTTTTTTTGTATTATGTGTTTGTATCTGAGAGTGTTTTGTGTTATTGTTTTGTGTATGTGAGTGTTGTATTTTGTATTTCATTCATAGTCATATTAGATATGTTCATGCCCTTTTTGTATTTTTCTGTTTATCAAGTGATTTACTGTATGTTAGTGTCATTTTTGTTAGTTTTAATTTTTGTATGTTAGTGTAGCATTTGCATTTTGTTCTTTTTCATGTTATGTACCGTATGTAAATTAAGTTTTTATCATGTATGTATGTTTTTGTATTTTGTTTTATGATATGTATATTTTTGTTTTATTAAATGCTAGGGATGTACATTTTTTTTGCATTCTGTTCATTCTTCATGTTATGAATGATCATTTTTTGTGTATTATGTGTTTGTATCTGAGAGTGTTTTGTGTTATTGTTTTGTGTATGTGAGTGTAGTTTTTTTGTAGTTTGCTCATCTTCACGTTTTGTATGTAAATGGATTTTTTAATATTATATATATATGTATGTTCTTGTATTTTGTTTTATGATATGTTATATTTTTTGTATTATTACATGTTGGGGACGTGTATTTTTGTGTTTTGTTAATTTTTTGTGTTATGTGTACATATTTTTTTTTTTTTATTATGTATCTTAGAGTGGTTTTGGTTTTTGGTTTGTGTATGTTAGTGTCATTTTAGTTTTCATGTTATGTATGGTAATTGAGGTTTTCTTATTGTGTAACGTTGACTAATTTTGTAGTTTTCAAGTCATGTATGGAAATCATATTTTTTGTATTTTTGTAAATTTTCAATGTAATTTTGTTTTGTAGTTACATATGTATGTTAGCACTGTTTTTGTATTTAATTAATGTTCATATTATATATTTTTGTAGCTAAGAAAATAGCAACAGAAGGAAGTAGAAAGTGTATAATCTGGAAACACAAAGCTAATGATATCACTGCACTGCAAGAACCCTTGCTGTGGGAGCATCAGAGCGTTTCTGTGTGATCCCCAGCTTGCTTCTACCCTCCCAGCCCCCCAGCTAGCTGCTGCAATGAGTCAATCAGGGGGAAGGAAAACTTACTATGCAGATGCTGGGTAACATGGGTAATGTAGTCTTAAAGGGGTATTGTACCATGAGGTGGATAGACAGCAGAACTACAATACCCAGGCACACTCTGCAATCAAAGGTGTAGAGACAGAATTTTTCCCAGGCAAATTTGCAGAGATTGGGGCAGAATAACATGGAGAACCAAGGAGTGCAGAGCTGTTGCTGGGGTCTGTGCAGGACACAAGGCAGACAGTGTGGAGAAACCAGTGTGAACAGATCTCTGTTTGCGCTTGCCTACACCAAGGACCGAGCTTGTGAGGACCAGAGGGAAAGACTGAGCCACAGAGATAGTTGCTATGCTTTACAACCTGAGCTGGGGAGACCAGTTGCTGTGTATGCCCACCTCAGAGAGGACCTGATTGCCATGATCTGATTGTGAGGATTGAGACTACTGGGCCGACTGGCCACCAAGCATATGGAACTGAACCTTTTGCATGCTAGGATTGGTGAGCGGAGCTACAGAGTTTAATTCCTTAGTGCCCACAGTTAATGCAATACAGACAGATCCTTACCTAACAGTCAATTAGCTAATTTTGCAAACAGCATTAAAGAGATAGCTACGTGTGCACCACCTTACAGAAGGGCCCCAAAGGCAGCCAGCTAATCTCGACAATTAGGCACTAGGTACTTTAGACACCATCAGGGGTGACCCTTTTCCAGTACACCCACCTCCCAATGGAGTGCACCCAGGAACATTGTTTGAGTAGCTATTGCTAAGGATTACAGTGAGGTTCCTTTTATGCCATTCATGCTTTAACGTTTGATGCTATCCTTACTGAAACTTTGTGGACTAGTGTAATGAGGCTTAGCCTTATTGCGGAGTAAGTTAATGGCCGTATGTGAGGCTAACCTGCCCATCAGTTAATCTAATGTAGTCTGTTGTCCTTTTTATTAGTTCTGTGCATTACATTTGCTTACCCTTCAAAATTAAATTAATGTTATTAATTCCCAAGTTACTTGTGGTCTACTTTCTCTGTACTATCATAGAGCTGTAGAATACTAATGCTTAAGCTACACAGGTGTGAGTAACTTTTAACCAGGTGTATTGGTGAGGACTGAGCGGCTTTAAGGCCTGGTTTACATCAGTATGTTTTTTTAGTGATTTTTGCAGAATCGCACTATATTCTAATTAACATGGTTTCCTATGGGACATATTCATATCAATGCTTTTTTTTCAGCTGCTGCCTTTTTAGAAAGGGTCAGGGAATTTTTTTAATTTTTTGAATTTTTTGCTATAATACAGTTCAATGGAGAAGCTGCTGAAAAGCATGTAGTGAATTTTTGCTGTGTTTTTGCTGCATGTTTGTTGCAACTTTACAGTGTTTTGCATTTTTATTCTGCGTACAACAAAATATTTCCACTTTAGAAAAAAAAAATCAAAAAATCCTGCAAAACGCGGTATAAATTCTCTGCAAAAACGTGCATGCAAACATGCACTGCAAAACGGACAAAATACGCAGTGCAGTTGAGGCAGAAAACAGAGGACTCAATAGAGGACTCAATAAACCAAGCGGCTCCTGCAGGGGCTGTGCAACACCCACAACAAACACACACGTGTGTATATATATATATATATATATATATCTACACATATATATGCATACATAGCACAGGGCAGGCACTTACCATCATGGATGACCTCACATGACAAAGGTCAGTTATGGCTATACGGTATCTCTGATATAGTTTCCTACAGACACAGGAAAGATTATAGGAAGTGAATTTATTCTCTCTTGAGAAGAGGAGATTAAGGGGGATATGATCACCATGTATAATACATAAGGGGGGATATGATCACCATGTATAATATATAAGGGGGGATATGATCTCCATGTATAATATATAAGGGGATATGATCACCATGTATAATACATAAGGGGGATATGATCACCATGTATAATACATAAGGGGGGATATGATCACCATGTATAATACATAAGGGGGGATATGATCACCATGTATAATACATAAGGGGGGATATGATCTCCATGTATAATACATAAGGGGGGATATGATCTCCATGTATAATACATAAGGGGGGATATGATCTCCTTGTATAATACATAAGGG